GATTCTTCATGGGCAGGACCCACTCTAGTAAGCCCTCAGGGAAAGGGTAGTAGACCTCTCACAGAAAGGGACATAAGAACAGCCTGAGCTACCATCAGAAGATTTTGCGGGGGGAGGCAGTGAAACACCTATGTGAAAATTACTTAAAACACAAAATTTTAAAAGAGAAAGATTAATTTACAGAAAGCTAGGTGTTTGACATAAACTCTCCTTTTTTTTTTTTTGTACCAGGGATCAAACTCAGGACCTTGCGCTTACAAGGAGGCAGGCGGCAGAACCACTGAGCTACATCCCAAGCCCAAACCTTTCCACTCTAAGAAGGTGAGAGAGGAGTTTTTGACTAGGCGTTGATTTTTGGTGTATGAATTATACAAATGGCGGCCATGACACTTTCAGCAGTGACATGCTGAGTTGATCCTTGCGAGTCTCAACATTCCGCCATTTGTGGCCAGGCTGCCTGGAACAACTCTGCAAGCACGTGCTGAGCACAGCACAACAGTTTCCCACTCTTCATGGGCTGATAACAGGTGTGTTTTTGTAATTCTCTTCTGAAAAACGATTTCAAGTGCCTAAAAACTTACACATTAACTCTGGCGTACTTAGTTTTCTTTTGTAGTTTACCAGACATCTGTGCCTTTTGTCTCAGCAGTATTAATCCATGAATTTGAAACCCCCCTGAGCAAAGGGGAACAGTGCTCACTTTCTGTGTGAGCATCCACTGAGGGTACAGAGGCTGTTTAGGAATTGTTTGTAGCTCTGTCAAGAACAAAACATCTCCCTCTTGTTTTAATCACTTAGAATATGAGTTACTCATTTTTATTAAAATAGCTGAGTTTTAAGGGCTGGGGATGTATCTCAGCAGTGCCATGCCTGCTTAGCAAGCACAAGGTCCTGAGTTTGATTTCTGGTACTGGGGAAAATATGGCTCAGTTATAAGCTGAGTAAAGCATACTGGTCTTGTCAAATATTATATTCAGCATGTTCATTTTGAGTGTCCAAGCACAGTGCATCATTCATTTCATGAATAAAGGCCGTGGCCTAATTGCTACAGCAGTAACGATATCAGACCAAATAACTTATTACTTAAAAATGTTAGGCTACGCTGCACACAATCATTTCAAGAGGTTATCTTTTGGACAAGCATATTTGGCAGGCTCTTCTGTTAGAATTTTCTAATTGTTCACAGCTATCCGCATCTATCTTTGGCATAGAACTGAGTACACTGAAGTGTCTTTCCCAAGTTTTAGAGGGACACACTCCAAAACAAGATAAGTGACTTCAGGTTTTTTTAAAGTCTTCTTTCTCTAATATACAAATTTCAGAAATTCTAAAAATGCTGGAGGTATTTAAATTTATTCATGGTGAATAGTTTCAATCACAAAATATTATATTTTTTAAATGCATTCATAATTTAAAAGTAAATGTATTTTATACATTAGGAACCCAAAGCCTTTATCTTCAGTAAATATTTTAATATTGATAATGTACACAGACTTCAGTTCTTTATATTTCCTGTGACATTTGAAAATGTAATTTTGTCTTCATATAGTAAAATGTTTTTATGTTAGCATAGTAATGAGTATACAATTTTAATTTCTCTTTTGTAGCTATATAATCATAGCATCAATAATAAGTAATGAAGAATATCCTAATTTGATCACAGAGGCATGAACAATCCATATTTTCTTTTTCTAATTGTTACTTGCAAAGAGAAAAATGGTTTTAAAACTAGGAACCCACTGACAAGAGCTCTCACCACAGGCTTTCATTACTCCTGGAGTATCTGTACACAGCAACTGTCACCACTTCAAGACTTGCCCACCCACTCCCCTCAACTCTGGCTTTATCAGGATTCCTGAATCTTAGGTGAAACGAACTGGAATTACCAGATATCATGTTGCTTGTTGCTACATTTGAGTTCTGAAATGTCCACCCAGTGCTTCTATGCCAGAAGTCTGGTCTCCAAGGCATTAGTGTTCAGGGACGAGGCCTTCGAAAGGTGCGAGGCACCAAGGATGGGTTCATAATTTCATGGGGTATTGGTAGGCAGTGGGAATCCAGCAGGTGGGGCCTGACTGGAGGAAGTAGGTCCTGGGGCTGTGCCCTTGAAGGCTGGCTCTCCACTTACTGGCTATCACAAGATGAGCGGCTTTGTTCCATCACACACTCCCCACCCACAGGGTCTACTTCACCTCAAGGAAAAGCAATACGGTCTAGTAACCACGGGCTGAAGCATCTGAAACCAAGATCCAAAATAAACATTTTCCTCCTTTCAGCTGATTTTCTCAGGTATCTTGTCACAGCAATGAAAAACTGTCTAGCACAGTTGATGCTATCTTTGAGAAACAATTGTTAGGGCCGGGGATTTAGCTCAGTGGTTTGGTGGCTTGCCTCGCAAGCACAAGGACCTGAGTTTGATCCCCAGTACCACACACACAAAAAAAAAAAGAAAGAAAGAAACTGTCACTGTAGATGGGTAGATGTTGATTAGCACAAAGGTTAGGAAGTTCCATTTTATACTCTGTCTAAAATGACCATCATTCTTTAGATAATATTCCTAGTTACAGTAATATGTTTCTTTTTATTTGCAGGTAATACTGCATTTTCTGATCAACTATGAGAAATGAATACTCACTTATAAAGTAAAGCAGCCTAGAAAATGCTGGACATTGAGGGTGAGTACTTGCTTAACTCTTAAATTCTGACACTGGCAACAATGGATACATCTTACCAAATGACCCTCTTATTTTTCTTACTGTAAATCAAGGAAATCCATAACAATAGTGAATAGCATGCATGCCTGCATTCCTAGTACGTGCCAGTTTTGTATCCATGTTGCCACCTTACTGTAATTTGAATCCATTTTGTTTTCATATCAACAAGTCACATCACAGCTGTGAGGACCAGACCCACTGGTTCACACTGAAGTACTGTCCCAATTGGAGCTCAGTGGAGGGTTCACAAAGGAGCTTGGCAACATATAAGGAACACGGACAAATGGTCAGCGTGGTCTAAAGACATGTTCAGCAAATGACGAACCCACTCTGAATCACTGCGAGATAGTAATCATTTTTTTCATAAATAATACAGAGATGGTAAAACACCACAGCATTTAGTCAAGCCACATATCCTTTCATTATTAACTACTGCTTTTGGACAGTGGAATACTTTTGGACACTGGGATACATTTATACTCACCTTCATCATTCCAAAATTATCTACTAAATATCCTGAGTATAAAGAGAACAACAAACTAATGTTTCTATACCAATAGTCATTCTCCCGCAAAGAGGGTTTTGTCTTATAATATTTACAGATATTCCTTTAGTTCTCTCGCCTACTTAATAGTCCAAGTACACTTTGGAGATGATATATTGATTTAAAATAACTGTCACTAATACAACTTCAGTGGCTTGAGGGACAGATAATACCTGATAGGAGGGGTAAACTGAAATAGGTTGTAAATAAGTCTTTCACGGATGGCATTGAAAATATGGCTTTAAAAATGAACTTTGTATGCATTACAGTTAAATACCAGAGATCAAAAAGCTACAATTTCAGAAGACGTTTATAAAAAATACTGCTTAAGGCATAACTTCTTGAGACTTAAGACATTTTCTGAGACAGTAACAAATATTCATTCCAAAAATACGCATCTAAACACATAGAAGAAAAATTATTTGCACTGGAAAATAAGTTGGTAATTCTAAATATATTTTAAATTATAATAAAATTACCAACATTGCAAGCATTTGAATTGTCAAAGGCCCATATGAAACACTGAATGTTTACAGAAAACCTAAGGAAAAGAAGGGAGAATTTCTGAATTAACATGAGACTTTAAACATTTGCAACTGTTTAATGGATACTAAAAGTAAGTGTTTTAGAATTTCACCTACAATCTTTAAAATGTTTATGTTCGGGCTGGGGATTTAGCTCAGCGGTTCGGTGGTCTGCCTCGCAAGTGCAAGGACCCGAGTTTGATCCCCGGTACCAAAAAAAAAAAAAAAAAAAAAAGTTGACGTTCAGAATGCGGAAGTCATTCTTTTTGCTGCCTTGTTTGAGGTAGGGTGGGGAAAACTTTGAAAAACCTATTTACAGTTTTCATAGTTTCTGTAATAGTATGTGTTTATAATTAACATTCAATTTCCCAAAATTTGAGCATCCCAAAATTCAGTCTCAGAAGTATAAGTTATATAAATAAAGGATAACTATTTCCATATAGGAGGAACAAAAAGAGTAGACCACATTCTAAAACTGACAGAAAGAGCATCCAGCACCCTGTACAACACTCTTTGTATTCATCAAGTTACTCTCTAAATCGAATCTGTCACATAGGCATATACACCATCAGTCAGCACAAGGGGGTGATTTGGCAGTGACTGGAGAGTCAGTGATGAGACTTTGTAATGTCTGGATGGCTCTACCCATGGCAGAGCATAATTCAGCACAGAGCAGGTCTGCTCTGACCTCCATCTAAAAGTTCAATTCCTGCAGCACCGAGAGAGACTTCATGAGCATCCATGTTAATGGCAATGTGGTCTCAGGTCCTAGACCTTGGTCATGTTGCAATGAGGTGGCAGCTTTATCTGCCTTCCGGCACAGACTATAAGCCACTGGGTCTCCACTATAAGGAGTAAGTCCCACGCAGCACAAGAGCTGAAGACAGTAAATGTGTAAACTTGAGAAACTGTCATTTGGGGTACCAGAGCAAAGCTTGAGCAAACAATTAACATACAAAAAAGAAACATTGACAATATAATCCACAAACAGCTTTGTATCACAAATGGACTAGCACGTGCCTTAATCAGAATAAAGTTATTTGAAAAATAATTTTGTGAGAAATGTGCAGTACAGAAAACAACTGCCCAACTCTGCATTGCTTTTTCCTACTACCCTATTTAACAGTGTGGAATTATACTTCTACTTATTATAACGATTGCTTTGATATGACTTTAAAACAGGAAAAAATAAAATTAAGAAATGAAAATATTCTGTACCTGAGAAATCCGCTGCTAAGAGGTCTACTGCCTTTAAAACCTTTACTTGTAAAATTCCAACATCCTTCATATCTTTCAAGGAGTTCTGTAAGCACTGAGTGGGAGAAAAAGAGATCACACGTGAAAATAGCTTTCTAATATACTCATCATGACATAAAGTCCTATAGGGAGTACTTTCCAGATTTCCTTGTCTTATAAAGTTCTTTTAAAAGTTCTTAAAATGAATCATGTTCATCAGCAGGACAGTCAGGCATTTACAGCAGCCGGATTAAAAGAAAAGAGGCTGAGAATTAATTAACTACAAAATAAACAAATTGGAAGCACATACAATCTACTTTTAACATCGCCCCCTGGTGTTAGTACAGATATCCCACTGGGAAAATGTGTGGGTAGAATTACATTCATTCTCTTTTCCCCCCCTACTTCTCTTTAATGTAACTTTAAGTCACTCTAAAAGGAAACATTATCCTGATCTAGTTAGTACAAACTTTATGGATACCAGAGGACTACACTTGGGCCCACCAGAGATATTTATTATCACTGGAAAGAGAGTAAGGAAGAAAATAGAACAAATTTCCGGGTCTATGGTTGGCCAGTTCATTAAATTAGAGATTTATCATCTATTATCAGCCTATATACCCTATATTTATATTTTCTTTAGTGAGCAGTCTGCATGATCCACAGCATGTATACACACTAGTCATTAAGCATATTATTGCATATTTTAAGCACGCGCACACACACACACACATATATGTATGTATGTACTTAGATGTCTCAGCATATGGCATGCCTTATAAATTGTATATGAAAGACATAAGCACTCTTTCATACCTATAGAACACATCACTGGAAATGATGCTGCTTCAAATCTTTAGATACATTGTTTCATAAGCAGATCTCATGCATTTATGGAATGGCAGCAAAATCCTTGTTACTTAGGTATTCCAGAGTCTAGTAACAAACTTTGATAATAATTGAGATCTCCCTAACCTAATATGTATCATTCTTGTGAAATTTTGAAAACCGTTTCTCCTGTATATTATGAACATGAACCAATCTTCCAACTAGCTCTTAAACTAAGATGAAAGCCCTTGCAGTAAGATAGTTTTGTATATCTTCATCTATTTTTATTTTCTATTTTTACTAGTACATGTTTGTAGTATACAATGATTACATTCACTGTAAGGAATTATAATATGTATATAACACATTTCAGTATTTTTTTGTATACCTTTAAAGAAGTCCTATTCTTGTAATCTGAAAAACAAATTCAGGCATCTGTAACCTCTGCCTTGTAACACAAAATTCTTTCCTTCTAACATGATGGCCAGCTGCCTACTGAAGAAACATTTGGCATTTCTATTTTCATTATAGTCTCTCCAAAACTTTTTTCAATTAATGTTCCTCAAATCCTAAGGCAAATAAAAGTAGCCATTATTATACTATCTACTGTTACTTTGTCAATAAAAACATACCACGTGAATTTCATGAATTTTGCAATTTGTCCATGGGAAACTTTAGGGAAAATTTTAATCTTCACAATCAAATCTTTTGCTCAGCCATCAGAAAGAATATTAACAGTGAACTCTGCCCAAACTCTTCCCAGTACAACTTGGTACCAAGAACCCATGTTGATGGTGAGATACGTGACTGGTGTGCTCTTGAAGGTAAAGAATTCTTCCATTAATCAATATACCTAAACAATGAAAGATTCCAGGGCACTAAAGTTTATGTGGAGAGTGGCACAGCTATTAAGGATTCATCTTTGCCTAATCTTATGCACTTTCTTAAAACATGTCTTCCTTGTATGACAATAAAAGAAACATATTGATTTACAGAGAAGATGCGACAAAAACAAATGCAAACAAGGGCATGTAGAAAGCCAGGGTACAAACCAATAGAGACCACAGCCATTTAATTTAAAAATGCTGAGAGCTGGGTGTAGTGGTACATGCCTGTAATCCCAGCACTTGGGAGGCTGAGACAGGAGGATGAGTTCAAAACCAGCCTGGGCTACATAGTGAGTTCCAGGTCAGACTCAACTACATAATGAGACCCTGTCTCAAAAAACAAAAACAAAAAAAACAAAACAAAACAACAACAAAAAAAAAATGCTGAGTGGACTGTTAACAGCAACTAAAGGAAAATCACACACAAATACCACGAATACCACGAATACCGTCATCCACAGAAGTATTGTAAAATGGTCCCTCCTACCAATCTCATGCTTTGCTAAGATATGAGCAAGTTCTCCCTTGATCCTGAAAAATTATGAAAAACTATCTATAACATTTCGAACATTATTACTTGATTTAAAAGGTGAGGTTTTTGATCTTCTATTAAAATTCCCATTCCACACACAGAGATGCTAAGAGTCTGCTTCCTTGAGGATTTCAGTCTTCCCCAAAGACTTCCTAAAAGCCAAAAATTCAAACTACCTTTTTGGCTCTTAAAAATAGCAAGGCAAACTCTAAGTCTCCTTTCACCTTCTCACTAATGCATTAACCCCATGTCTGATGCCTTGTTTTATGAGACACACAATTAAACATGGGACAAAGATCGCTTGTTGATGCAGTTTTTCAATTCACAGACTTCATTTCAATTTAAGAGGGTGAGAGGTGGAGGGGAGGGGAAGGCACCGTCACCAGACACGCCACTTACATATCGCTGGGAGATCTGCTTTCTTTCACTTGGATCCGCTAAGGGGCAGACGCAGAGATCTGAGACAGAGACTCCCACACAGGGCGCAAGGGTGATCAACAGGAGGAGCGCGCCCAGGCAGCTCTCCAGGGGCAGCTCCAGGCAGTTGGTTTGCTTCAAGGGGAGTGCGGCGATATCCACTTTACACCTTGAAAGATATCAAGAGTCAGGCATAGAAGAACGACAAACTCAAAACCAAGGTAGAATCTCCGCAGCACCTACCTATATTTATTTCATAACCCTCAAACTTCATTCTGTCTGGTCTTAGGTTTATTTAACAGTGAAAGTTTCAAGGGTTTCTCCCTGCTTGGAACACTCTCTCAGAACCTATGCACTGCAAACTTGAGGACAGAACAGGCTAGGGAAAATTAAAGAGAAGGCAGGATCAGGGCATGGCCAAAGAAACTTGGGAAGTCATGTCTTTTGCCAAAACAGGTGCGCAGAAAGAAATGGTATCAAGAATTAGGGAGAGAAAAAGCTCCACGTGTAGATATTATAGTGAATGCTTTAAGTGGCTTTACATGATCTGCAGCTTGTGTAAGAGAATAAAGGATGCGGATCCACAAAGAGAAGGGACAGAAAAGACAAGAGAAATGTAAGTGGGTAAGGGTTAACAGAGAAAGCACTTTCTTTTCAATTAACACCAATTGGTGAATTTTTATTTAAGGAAATATGTTAAGGTGTTTTCCTAATAGGCATGGTTCCACAGGGTTTTCTCAGGTGGGTTTCTTTTGGACAAATGGAGCACAAAGCACCGCTGATTGATCCCAGTTCGGCAGTGCTGCCAGGAAGGGCTGTACCCATCTGCTATAAATTGCATTTTTTCCGCCTCTTAACAGCCAATGTTCTGGAGCTGTTGAAAACCTCAAACACATTTAAATACAGAAGCAAACACCACGGCGGTGGGGGGGGGCTGAGATACTAAGCCATGTATTTGCTTCAGCTCTGAAAGCTCTGGTTTTGTGTGTACCACACCTACTATGTTTATGGGTGCAAGGGGGTGAAGATACAAGGACAAGGGGGCAGGCAGCAGCTCTTCTTAGATGAAATTTTAAAATGTAATTATCATTTGCTCCCCACAATTATAGAACATGATGAATATTCATGACTTTAGGAACAGAAGCATTGCCTCTCTCAAAAAGCAATATGGATGGACACTACCCCTGAATCTTCAATGGACTTTGTATGCTAGCAGACAACTAGAAATAGGTAACCTTCACCTCTCTATGAAAAACCATGATTTTGAGTTACATGGACATGTAGACAAGCATTTGCCAGTTTCATATATTTGAAAATTAAAATCTGCTTCCTTATTAAAATAGGAAAATTAATTACATTAAAAGGTATACCAACTTTTATTGTAAGACAAAAAAATACATATTGATAGGTGCCTGTAAAATTAAATATATATGGGTATTTGTTTCCCACTTACTTACCCAAAGTGAGACCACACTTTGGAGGAGGTGGTGATTACTTTTGCATAAATTTATCAAGTAATCTATTGGAAACAGATTATAAATATGCACGTATAATATATGCATATTATATATATTCTTTACATTTTGCATCAAAACAATATTTTCCCTAGCAATAAGGAACCTTTTAAAATTAAAATATAACTAGGTGTGGTGGTTCATGCCAGGATCATTACAAACTGAAGACCAGCCTAGGTTATATAGTAAGTTCACACAGCAAAACTTCATCTCAAAAAAAAATAAAAATATTACTAACCATGAAAAGGGAAGTCACTAAATATTTTTATTTCATAAGCAATTATGTGCAAAGAGAATTTAGTTTAGTTGGAAAAACAGAAATGTCAAGTGCTTTGTGTCATTTCTAGAAAATCATGAACTCATATATATTTTAAATATCGCAATAGTATGTGTGCCTAGGAATACTTTGTTTAACATTGTTATATACACTTTCACTTAATAAAGTTCCTTCTTGCAGAATGACTAAATGACCTGACTTTTTAAGAATTTTCTCTGGTGGTCACTTTAATTAGCTCTTTCTTCTTAATGCCATTAATAATAATAACTTATTTTTATCCGTACTTCATCCTAAAGAAAGAAGTAATACATTTCTTATAAACTTCTCTCCACCAGGCCAGCTACTGTACCCTATTTCAATTTCAACCACAGTACATATTGTTCCAGTTTGGCCTAATGTTGGCAGAACCAGAAGTACTAGAAGTAAACCAGAGATAAGGGAATGCTTCTCATTAATCCCTATCTAAGGGGCATTATTAGCCTAAAGCAGTAGAGAAAAAGTATGTAATGACCTTTTCTTTCTGAATTGCAGATGATTTTACCATAATACCAATACAAACTTCCAAAAAAACGAGGAGAGTATCAGGTAAATAGAATAGCATTTCTTACATAGCATTTCTTTGATAAATGATCAAAAAATGGCATCTGAAAGATAAATGAAATAAAATCTAAATTTTGAAAGATGATACCATTTTGTAACACATTCAAAAACGTTTTAAATTAAAACGTCTTAAAAGTGGAAACCAGCCTTCTCTTTTCCCCTAGCAAACCAGTCGGGTCGATGTCCATGGCAGGTCGTGTGGCTTCACATACAAGTGGAGTGACCGCGTCTGGACAAGGGTTCAGAAGAATCGACACCCTGACCCTCAGGTGACCAGACAGTCCTCCTCCCGATGTCCGATCATAGAAAATGTAACAGGAGTGCTGGTATGACATCAAAACTTACTCTTTGAAAACAAAACCAATACTATCTCTGCTATGTGCGTACCTCGGTGGTGGCTACCATGGCTCCAAAGTGCAAGAGGGAGGAACCCATGGCTTTGTGACCTGCGTGCCTCGCTAGCTTCATTATGTGGACTCCCCAAGCCTCTCCAGTGCTCCCAAGTTTATCAGAAGGAATTTGTCCTTCCTTCTCTCTAGATATCTGCATGCGTGCTGTCTCCTAGAAAGCTCTTCCCCCAAGCACCGTATCATGCTATCTTCCACCCAGTTTAGGAGTCTCACACCAGACTTTCGGTTCCTCCAGGAAGCCACCCACCCTGCCCCCAAGGTCTGTTGGTTTTCAGGGTGCTGAGACCCACACACCCCATGCCATGCCACTGCCACTCCCTGCTTCCATTCAGTAGCACAAAACTGAATGCCCAAAGACAGCACCCTTGTCTTCATTACTGGCCACTGAATCTTCAGTCCTTTGCAGCCTTCCTAACACACAGTCTGGTCTGCATTTCTCGAAAAATTTAATACAGAAATGAATGCTACTGGCATAAACAAACCATACAATCAAAACATTCAAATTAACCAGTGTTTTCTTTTAACTGTTTTTTCTTCTCTGTGTTAGAAAAAGATTGAAATAAATGCATTTCCTGGGTGCCTCCCAGACTGAAAATTCCTTGGACCCACTCACCTGAAGGAAACAAGGACTAAATCACTTTTTTTCTGCAACAGGCATATATTAAAGCTTCCTGCCTCCACCCAGAGGCTGCTAATGTGCTGATTTAGCATTGTTTCTGACCTCCCATGCTTGTCTTTCTCCATTAATCCCACAGCATTTTAATGTTTTAATCCAACACATAATTTCACCATATCAGTCAGCCAAACCTGCGCAAGTTTTACTTGCCATGATAGCTTTTAACCTCTTATTCATTACCATAATTCTATGTTTTATATTACAGGCTGGTCAGCTTTTAACTTAAATGCAAGGGGCAGAAAAGAGTGTTATGGTTTTAAAAGCTGTAAATCTCAGGGACCGAGGAAGTTGAAGAACAGGAAGAAAACAGTGAATGTGTCAAGTCTGGCTGTAAAAGCAGATCAACGACATGGGGTGCAATTTGTCCCGAGAAACACTCCAGTCCAGATCTTTCACTGCCTCAGAGCCACTAATAAATGGGGGAAAGTCGGAGCCCCTTTATGAGACACCGTCTGGAACTCAAGCTTAGCTGAGGCTGGCTGGTCCAAACAGGCTACGATTCTCCGCTTTCACCTCTGCAAATGAAATGAATATCTAGAATACTCGATAACAAGTCAAACTCTAGCATCACTTTGCAATGAAAAATATCCATTACTCTACCACACAAAATGGGATGATAAATATTAATCTATATTCATACTTTTGCATTTTGTTAAAAATGTGGAGCAGGTTAAACTTAGCTTTATGTCTTAATTTCCCTAAAAAATTCACTATCCTTATCTGAGGTATGAGATATGATGCAATCTTTTCCTTTTATTTATATTAAGGATAGAAGCCAGGGCTTTTGCAACTAAGCTATATTCTTCAGAGTGTGTGTGTGTGTGTGTGCATGTGTGTGTAATGCATGTGCAGGTGCCTGCCTCAAGGGCTAAGTTGCCCCAAACTTGTGATTTTCATGCCTCAGCATCGCAGAGTCCTGGGACTATCTTGTAATATGTGTTTTTCCTATGAATATATATGGGAATTGGGCTACATGCTTCCAGGGGATTGTTGAGTGGCAATAAGCACCTGTATGTCGCTAGCTTCAGCACCCTTAGGAGTTCCGTGTGGCTTAGCCAGAGCCTGCAGGAGGGTGAACTATGGCCCCAGGGAACTCAGAGACCCCCATGTAACTCAAGAGCGCTTGGAGGACACCTGCTGCCGCACAGAGCTATATTTAAATCATCGCCATGCTAACAACCTGCCAACACCTATGTAAGGTCTCTTCACATAACCAGTCACTGACTGGCCCTTTCATCCGTGACACCAAAGCCCCAGTATGACTCAAGCCAATCTCTGTTGTTCAGTTCTTCAGCCACTGGCTTCCCCTGCCACCTTAACCTTGCAGATGTTCACTGTTTATTTCTACTAAAAACTATAAAAAATAAAGACTACACTATTTTCAAAAGATACTGCTAGCTATATTTCACTGGTATCAGTTGTATAATTTGAGTTGAAAACCACGTAGAAATCTATAGATACTATGAAAAAATCACACATGAAAAATTATAGCCACGATAGACAATGTCAATAGACACGGGAACTGTTAGTCCTGATGAGCTGCAGGTTGGCCAGTGACCTCCTGGTCCAGGGAGCCAAACTCCCAGTGGCACATCAAGAGTACCTCATCAATCTGCCACAGTGGGAGCCCTTCCTGCAGAGGATTTCCCCAGTGGGGCTGCATGTAGAGCTTCACCTGATTAACACAAAGGGATTATCTGAAAGCAAAACATGACATGGGCTTTAGGAGATGGTTCACATTTACCCATGCTGTCAAACCACCTCTGATGGAAAAAGATAATTTCTCAATAGTTGAAGCAAAGAAAGGGCAATGTGAATAAAAACAAGCTGAAATGTTTCAAAAGTAACTAACAAGAGATAGCAATAAGTAATCTGCCACGGGTACACATAGGCTTAGCACAGTATTTTCTTTACATCTGAAAAGCAGTGTTGTGCTTTCGCCTGGACCCCTCGCACCTGCACATCCACTGCTCCATAAAGTTGTGGAACCAGATCCCAAGAGACACTCCTGTTATCTGCTGTGCCACAGGAGAGGAAAAAGGAAAGGATTCCAAAAAGAGAAAAGAAAAAAAATCTTTAAAACCCGTAAAGAGGAAGGACAGAAAGTCCAGAGGACAGGTATACTTCTCAGTTACAAACAGGAAAAAGCTAAAATAATAAATGAATACCCAAATGACAAAACATCGAATAGCAGAGGCATCTTAAATTATGTTTTTGTCTCGGTGAAGCAACCCAACACTCATTTGGAACAGCATTTCCTCCTCTGTGACGGGAACATGACAACACAATGACATGTGAAAGGCAGGGGCAGTGTCCTTTGCACCTACTAAAATAACACACGGGCCATTCATCACAGGAGGCCCAATTCCCACTATTCAGATAACACTGGGACACAGTGTTCTTTGCATTTGCGTAACTTATCCTTGCTCCATGAGTTACCACAAAGTTCCCAACCCTCCTATCATTGCCATGGGCAGGGCTTCTGTACGTCACAGCTGGGACAGTGGCAGAGGTACTGAGAAGTGTCGGAGGCACTCCAGGCACCCTGTGTGGGCACAGGCAGAGACGGTAGATGCAAGATCATACCCATCACTGACAGGCAATGATCGTGAAGTCCTCCTAGTTGAGAGGGAGAGTTGTGGCATGGCCCACGGTGCTAGCAAAGTGCACAAACCTGCCTTCGTCGTAAAGAGACTCTTATCAATGTAATATGTTGCCTAGCAGGTAGTACAATCTCTTTATGCATCATCTGTGACTAAGTAATGCACTCAGCGTATAGCATGGGGAACATGAAGGCCAGAGGTCTCAACTGCCAGGGTCACTGGCCGTGCTGGTCCCTCAGGTGGCACACAGACATGTGTGATGGAATGTAGGCATGCTATGTGTGTATACGGAGAAGCATGTGTTGCAAACCATAACTGGGGAGAGTTACTGTCATCACTCAGCTGGGTAAGAGCCAGGTGAGCTTAAGATATCTCGCAAGACTCCAGATAGTGCCATGCCACGCCACAAGAATGCTGCAAGTGGGGCTCCCCATCCATTGGTCTCAGGATGAGCTGCTGAGGCAAGATGGGGAAGGACAGGATAAAGAGCCAACGTGGGGCAGTGGACAGTGTGCTGAGGCCTTTACAGAGCAAAAGCACTGCCTGAGATACTGATCGCTGGGCCTCATGCAATTTTTATCTCTAAATTCTTTGCTGACGGAGAAACATTTCATCTCCCTGCTACTCTGCGTTCCCTCATTGTAAAATGAAGCAGTTAAATTCAGTGAGTGAATTTCAGTCTTTATTTTTTAGTGATAAAAATCCTTCCTCAAGGATTCCCCAAAGTGGAGCACAGTAAAACATTGAGATGCTCTGTCTGGAGAGGGGAGAGGAGGCCTCCATTCCCGGGGGGGCCACAAGGCATCACCTTCCACTCCAGTTCCAGGTATGGAGAAACAACTGAGGGCTGTTAGGTTCTCTTTAAATGTTTGTTTTCTTTAAAATTTTAACACAAATTTTATGCACATGGGATTGTTTTTAATAGGAAGCAATTTGAAGGGAAGAACTTGATCTTTGGAAAGGCAAAATCCTAACTCTTGGAACACAAGGTTCTTAAACTTAAGGCTAAGTCATTTGTAATCTTCTTGTACTCCACTTCCTCATCTGCAAAATGAGCCAAGTGATATATTTAGCACAATGTGCTAAAGATCAGGGGTGACCCACCCTTCTCCCAGCTTATCCTTTGTGCTCACTGTGGATGAATCAAAATACCTGTGCTATCTCATTTTCTTGTGTTCCCCGTTAGAACCCTAAACACCAGATGGGACACTTATGTTGTTGTTCATCACATATGGATGAATACCTCAATTTAGTTAGGAGGGCCCAAGTAAAGAAAAACAACAGGTTTGGCTTCAACAGATTCTATTATAGTCTGCCACAAATTACATCAAGGGCAATGAAAAGTTTTCATTATGGGAAATATCTAGCCTTTTTTATTAAATTGTTATTTTCTATGCAGCAAAACCAAACTACAGTCCACTGGCAATTTATATAAACAAAACCCTAACAGCCTGAGATGGCTGCTTTTCTTTCTTTAGAGAATCTTTGATACAAAGTACAGTTAGCCTTTTGAGTACAGTTTTCACATTCACAGACGCAACCAACCTTGGTTCAAAAACATCTTATAGATATTTTGGGGATCATTATTCCCAAAGCAAGACAATACAACAACTACTTACAGAGCATTTAGATTGCACTATGTATTAAAAATAATCTAGAGTTGATATAAAGTATTCGGAGGAATATAAAGAGGTTGTATGCAAATCCTATGCCTTTATTTAAAGGACTTGAGCATCCTAGGAATTTTGTTTCTGTGGGAGTCCAGAAATAATCCTCCTTGGATACTGGGGTGTGGCTGGATTTCTGTTTTTACAAATAATGCTTTTAAACATTGAATGACATTTACCAATTTAAAAAAAAAACAACAACAACAAAAAAGGACTCTTCCTCCAGTTAGGAGTGGCTGTCCAGCCTTCTGAAGGCTCCACGGATGAGATACAGATTGTTCTCTCAATCCAGACAGACAGGCCCTTCACTAAGACCCAGCCCCCTGGAGACACAGGGTCCCACCAAGGAGACACAGAGCAGACTTACGTGCCCAGGCGCTCCTCGTGTTTTTTGCCGTCCTTTCCCCACACTTCAATGTCCAAAATGCCCATCCTGTCAGAGAAGTAGTGAAAGTCAAACTGTTCCTGCCATTGCGGATTTGCACTCTTACACAGTGTCTAGAAAACATGCAGTTATAATATTTATTTTCTTAAAATGTCATTCATTGCTACAGCAGCTACACATTAATTTCATTTCTAAATGGCAGGTGGTCATAATGACGGGATTTGCCTCTTATCAAGTTAAACTTGTGGAATAGAAGAGACCTTAAGATTTCAGGAATGGCTAAAGAGTACTATTCATTTTGATGGCCTCCAGCTTTAACAATTTACCCACCAAGTTATTTTTTTTTTCCTCTTTGAGTTTATTGGTATATTTTAGGTGTACAGTACAGTCACATTCATTATTGGGATCCTGTACCTTCACATGACAGGTCTTGGTTCTCATTTTTTCCCCTGTCCCTGCCCTCCCTTCTCCCCTCCTTCCCCTCCCCATTTACAAACACTTCATTTCCATTTTTTCATTTTCTCATATTTTTTTTCTTTTCCCTATTTCCTTTCCCCTACCCTTCCGACTTTCCCTACACCTTTAGCCTCTTTCTTCCTATTTCACATTGTCAATTATATCATTAGGATCTTATGTACTGTTACAGTTTTTCACACCAGAGAAACTATTCGGTATTTACACATGTGTGACTTATTTATTTCACTTAGGAGTATATCCTCATATGTATCCATTTTCCTATGAATGAATCTAATTTCTCATTCTTTATGGCTAATATTCCTTTTTATAGAAAAACCACATCTTCTTTATCCAGTTTCCAACTGATGGGCAAATGGGTTGTTTCCAAGTTTTAGCTATGACAAACTGTGCCCCTATAAACATAGGTGTTACCCGCCAAGTTAAAAGAATACTGTAATAAGCCATAAAAATAAATGTATTCATGCACAGTGACATATTATCAGTAGACAGTTTGCAATTCTTCTTATAGAAATTAACTTTCTTAGAGAAAGTGACATTTTTGTTGGCATATACACACATTGCTTGCTTAAAATTATATCTATTAACAGTTGGGGGTCTTCATTAATATTTGCCAGGTGCATTAAATGAGTAATCCATGAGTTTTACATTCCTATTTTAAAATCCAAAATTGCTGAATTCAGACACTAAAATAGAGGCAAGACTAGGAGACTCCAGCAACAGGTAAAAATCGGTGAGTGGTTCGGAACCCCCACAAGTGTTACGGTGTTCCCTAAGAATAAATTAAAACTGCTTCTTTGTTGGGAGGATTTCCTTTTGTCTTCCATTTATAGAGATTTGATTTGTTGATAAAGAGTGAGTGGAGGTATCTATTCAACACTGAGCACAGCTGTAAGGACACAGCACTAGCTGTGAACACCCCACCACCATCTATTCCTGCCTGAATCAAAACATGGCCGCCCAGCTATCTGCTGTAGCCGATGTCGTATAAAATCATTGAAGTGTTTTGTTTTGTTTTTTTCCCCAATCAGGCTTAACATATGACATCCCAGAATTCAGAAGCCAGGAAGAAGAAAAGACCTCTTAGGGCTACACATTGCATGCAACATTCCCAAAAGAGGAGTGTGGTTCATTTGAACTAATTCTACGCTTCACCTTACTCAAAAGGGTTAAATGTTTCTAATGTTAGATCATTTTTCCATAAATCCTCATCTTGACCCCGGCCAACTACAGGAATCTTAGGAGAGAACTGTTGTCGACTCAGATTTTCCTCCTATGCGGGTAGTTTTGCAGCCTAAAACGGCCTGCTTAAAATAAATGTTTGAATATTTCTGATATAAATCGCTCTAGATTTTTCATATTTCTTATAAACTGTTCTTCAGTATGCACCTCATTTCTCCAGTCCTTTGTGTGGCAGGAAAGGGTGTGCAATGTTTGATTTTTCACTGAAAATTGGGCAGGACACACACCCCCTTTTGCCTCCCTAAATATTGTCCAAGCTGTGTGCATCTGCTCTGCGCTAGATGCTGAGAAGCCTGAATAGCAAATATTCTCAAGTCCATTTCCAAAATCTGCCATTGATTTTTTTGTCTATGTGGCTGTTGGCAAGTGACATAACTTTCAACTACCCTAGCTCTTTCAATTTACAAAATAGGAAATAGTCTTGTCTGACAGTTATGTAAAACAAATTAATTTGCATGGTTTGGAGACGATGGCTTTGAAATAGAATCCCCACCAAATTACAAGGTTAAAAATTAAATGGAATTTAGATTGCCGGAATAAGATAGCTTATTTTGAAAATAGCTAAAATGTTGTTACTTTTAGTTTTAATACCTTAGATACAGTTTTGTTTTTAGAAAAATCACAGCAAAATTAGCAACCCTGGAAAATTATTTTTGATGCAAAGAATATCAAATGAGGGAGAGAAAAGAGTATATAGTTTTGAAAATATTTTCAGCTATCCCATGTAATTTATACATATCAACTAGTATGCTATTTTATTTTTTGTAGGATTTTGAAGTTATCCTTTTCCCGCATTCTATGAAACATACTTTGCTTATTTTCAAAACAAAAATAAATCATGTGTTCTATGATTTAATGAGCTTTCTTTAGCTCTGGCTTACCAAATTAAAATATATTACTCTAAGCAATCAAAGCAGCTCCAATGTTAAATGACTGCCATTATATCATTATTTTGTTTTCTGGAATGCTCTTTAATAGAGTTGGGGAGGGGGCTAAAATTAAATTACTTCTATTCTTGTGAAATTCAGAAGAAGAAAGCAGTTTTTAATTATTTTTAATTTTAAAATACATTATCCTCCTTCCAGCACTGACAAAACTTACCTTACTTTTGTACCTCTGATCTCCCAGTTTTAACTGAACGAACATCTCGGTCATATTTCCTCCTGAGATGTTCTTCCCTTCCAACAAAGTTATACTTATAATCCCATTCCAGAGCTGGTTCTTTTTCAAGGACTCTGAGAGCCGTAGATTGCGTATCAAAGAGGACTAGGGAAAAAAGTAAAGATGACATGTGAACCCGTCGGTACTTCTTGAGAATGATTCTGGTGATCAGAGGATTCCCAGCTTTCGGTGTTTGATTATAGAGTCTCTCCCTGCCCAGTGAGAAGTGTTATTCTTCATGCCTTTCACAAGCCTGCAGCTACAGTTACATGGTTAACTTCTGAAGCTCTGGACTCGTAGCAGTATAGCACAGGATGAGTTCAAGCAATACTTGGCTTTGGCAGTGATCTCTAGTCCCATCCAGAAGTGCTCTTTGCTAGGAATCCTTAAACTGGGCCTCTGGCTGTTTTAATAGCAGGAAGGGAAGAAAGGCATTCTGGGAAACAGATACAGGAACAAAGGCAAAATTCCTCTGGGCATTTAGAAATAATGCCTTTGCATTTCTCCATCACACCTGACTCTCTCCCTATTCCCCTTAACCCTCTGTAACACTCACTAGAAGAGTCTCAGCTCCATGAGACGTTTACACAGGCCTAGCTGGTCAAAGGAGCTTTGGCTATCAAGCGACTCATCTGTGACACAGGATGGCCAGAGGAATGTACAAAATGCACCACACAGGGCCTGGTACCCAGAGGGACTCTGTATCTGTTCACACATTATTGCTTTTTAAATTGCATGACTTCTGAACATTCATATGCACCTTAAAGAGAATACAGAAAAAAGCCAACTATGCCCTGTTATTAACTGATAAATATGATAGTCGTGCTATTTTTAATTGCTATCATATAAATGTTTAAACACACAAAAAGGTAAAGAGTACAAATAGTATAATAAACCACCTTGTATTCATTCACCAGATTCAATATTATGCCACTTTTAATTTCCTCTCTCCCTTCATTATTTTTTCCTGGCTGGTATATTTTTAAAGCAAAGCCATATTTGTTTTTATATAATCATCATGCATGATGACTCTCAACAAAATTAACCGTAATTCGTCCTAATATCATTAAATACCCCGCACGTAGTCACAGTCCCTGACGGTCTCAATGACATTTCCCCGGGGTTATTCTGCTTGAGGAGGGGTTCCCACCTAATCCACATGCTGTGCTTAGCTGGAAGCATCCATCTATGATCTCTGTTCTATAAGGGAAATGGTACAAGCAGAGATGCTTTTATTTAAAGGAGAAATACGTGGGGTAAAGCAGGTAAATGGTGTCGAGCATTATAGGAAAACAAAGGATCTCTGACACTCGATATTCATTCCTGTCTTCGGCTCACTGTACCTTTGAAACTCTTTACACCACCATTTTCTTGGATACCAGTTAGTCAGTCACAATTTATCACAACAAATGCTGTGTCAGGGCCATGTTAATTCTACATGGCTCACCTCACAGCCCACACCACTCTACCACTCTGTAAATGATCTAGCATGCCTTGCTGGAGGTTTTCTTGATCATTTTATGACAACTTTAAACTAAATACTTTTAAGGAAAGATGCACTCAAACTTATCTGTTCGGCTTTTCTCCCGATATTCCCCAGGCACATGCGTGCGCGCGCGCGCACACACACACACACACACACACACACACACGCACACGCACAGATTTTACAGGTGCTGAGACAAAGCTGGGTAGGCAAATGGGGAAAGAGAAAACTTCAAAATCCTTCTCTAGGAGACTTAAGTAAGTCTTTAACTCCTATTTGCAGCTAGATTGCAGGCAGACTGCATTCAATAATCAATGTTTATGAAATTATTAAGTGCTTAAAACATATCAATATATAGATACATGTACATGTTCGTATACACCCTTGGGTACATATGTATGTAAAATGGACTTATTTTATAACCCATTAAGTACCTGAGCTCAAAACCTCTACCTTTAAAATGAAAATAGGATTTTGACTCATGTATCTGGCTGTGACTCCCTTTTTGCTTTCTTCTCTTCTTAAAAGTTTGACTTGCCAACCAACAAGCTAAAGCACGACCTGTCCCCCGGCCATGCCTCAAAGTTCCGACAGGTATATTCCACCCTAAACACTGCAACTATTTCAAAATCCTTTTTACAAAGAAGGGAGTAATGTCCACAGAGGATCAAAGGGCATCCTGCAGTCTGGCAATTGCCTAAGAAAAATGGCAGCTCTTCCATGAAATATGCCCTAAAATAATTTTGCAGCTTGGAATGTCCTAATTTCAAATTGGATGTTTATCTTGGAAAGGCTTCTATCTAACTTGTCCATAAAACAGTCCCACTTAGCTCTATGAGCTCTGTGAAAATGGAATCCAAAGCTGGTTATTAAGGGGGCCCAGAGATAGGTTCCATATGGCAGAACAGCATGGGAGGGCAAGGCTGAGGCCGGTATTAGGCGCTGCTTGGCTGGAGCTCCTGATCTACCCATGGACACTCGTTGCCTTACACCATAACATCTGGATTATTGCTTGTAATGTCCCTGGGAAATATCCACTTTCCATCAAAGCCTTTATCTATCTCAGTCGGACTTTGAACATTTTAGTATTTAACACAGTCGTGTTTGATCTGATGGACTTGCTTTGTGCTGTCCAAGTTTTGTTTTGCTTTTTTTTAAATTCTTCCCTCCTAAAGTCAGGGTAGGAGAAAAGTCTACTGTAGAGTTCACAGATAGAAAAGAGTGCAAGAACTGTACTGTGCTTAGCTCACCGTAAATATTTCTGCAAACACTGCTTGAAACTTACCCCTAAAATCAAGTTTCATCTGCCTGCCACATATTCCGGGTATGTGCGTGTGTGCCTAAAAGAAGTTTCTTAATTACTTTAACATTTCTCTTCCACCCTTGAAAGGCATGCCCAGGCTCTGTGGCAGGGGCAGTCAGGCCATACAATGTGTGTTCCTGCAAAGCCTGCCTAGCAACAGTTTTTTGTACTTGAAACACTCCCTCTCTCTGCACAATAAATCCACTCATCTGCACTCCCTCAGTTAGCTGAACGGCTCAGGTTTTCGCGTCTGTGCCCTCATCCATAAGTGAAATTTGTCATCTCAATGCAGCCCGGAATGTGAAAGGAGAGAAGGAAATGACCCATCAAAGGGGAAACCCACCCCTCTCGCACTGAAACAAACACCAGGAGATAGAGCAAAGTTTCTGGGTCCTGACCCTAATTCCTCAGCAGACATAACAGATAAAATATAGTACAGCAGGGTTTTGTTATTTTCCTCCTTCCTCCCCAAGGATCAGAACCTTTTACTATTTCTATGTTGATTCATTCATCTGCTCTGTCTTCCTCCGAGGTCCCCACCCTAGCGGATCCCTATCCATTGTTCCACCAGAGAAAAAGTGATTTCCACGCAAAACAAGCTTGTTAGTTATTCATAGTGGAAAGCGGCTATTGTGTTCGGTTCATAAACATGCTGACTTTTGTAAAAATGAAGTAACCTTGAAAACATTCTTCTCTTGCTGGGTCATGATGTTCCCGTACCCAAGGCAGGATGGGGAGAAAGGGAATGAAATAGAACGTATGTTCTACAGAGCTTCCTTCTTCTCACTCTAGTAGGTGGAAGAGATTCACTTTTGAATACTCTGACATTTCTGATCTAGCAGTGCATCGTCCAAACAATACAGGAACTGTCATTCCCAGGGCACAGCAGTGGACTACAGCTTGGGGGGGGACGCGTGGATTTGAGGATTTGTGCCAAAAGGCACACTGGGAAGATGGTGACGTGGATTCTGGTAATTCATCTCTTGATAGGGTTGTAAAGGATGATGGTAACATCAGCTCAGGACCTCCTGTCTGGCTCTTGCTAGAAACAGTGTGGCAGGGAGGTCAGGAGAAAGGATCTTGAAGGAGGATGGGGAATTTAGGCTACAGCCTGCAGCCAACAATAGCAAGGGCACACTCAACGCTATCATGCTCCAGAACTAACTGTGCTGACTGGTAGGACAGGGCCATAGCAAACTATTCCTCTGCACATAACACTCCCCTGCTAACCCAACAGGGTGGGCAGTGGGAAACAGGAGTAGGGCAGTCTAAGTGCTAGGGCAGTACTAAGGTGCCAAATACTCTAAGGTACCCTTTATAGATCCTTTCGGGGACAGAAGTATGAGAGCCTCAGTATTTGTATGTTGCTAGTGCAACCTATTTTAACTCTCATTAATTATTTCTCCTAAGTCTGGGCTGGGAGTCAATAAAAAACACACACGTTAAAAAAAAATCAACTGACTTTGTAAGAAAAAAAAAACGAATAATAAATTAAGATTCCAAGCATATTGACCATTGCTTTGAAAGCTAAGGGAAAACTTTCAGCCTAAAAGTCACTGAAATATTCCTCCCAAGGCTTTTCAACATGTAAAACTACTGCTTCTTGTCAACAGCTTTTTAGGAGGACAGGACAAGATCCACACATCCAGGAACAGCCTCCCCGATGAGATCCTCCATCTCAGCCACTTCTTTACCTCATCTGAAGAGGATCCTGTAGGCATAAATTCCCCAGAACTACACACAAATTTAGTTGCAGAGGATAAAAAGAAAACCTTTGAAATTTTCCACATGTGCATGTACATGGAAGATGAGATTCATATGTGTAGATGAAAACTCTATCACCATTCCAAAGATATTAATAATCTGGGTACACAAAGACACCAGCTACGAAAGCTGTACCTTAAATTTAATATTTTAAATTTTAAGGCAAGATTATCATTCAACTTTGTCCCTTAAGAACAAAAATTAGATTAAGGAAATATTAAATAAATAGATAAGCATGATGACTACCCAATGACTCTCAGAGCACAGGAACAGGAAAAGGTTTGTAATGCACTTTCTACTATTAAAAATAAAGGGGAAAAAGGAAAGATACGTGATGTGGGGAGGTTGTGTTCTTGTCCTGACTTCTAGGAAGTGTAGATTCTGTGCTTATATGCAATGGTATTTGTCATCTAGCACCGCTGGGTTTTTGTGCTACCATGCTGGCCTTTACCTCTTCGTTCTATGCATCCACTTCTCTCCTTTACTTAAAGGACTGCAAAAGCACTCATGTCCTGAGCAGAAAGAGAGAAAACCCATGGAGTGGTTGGCTCA